ACATCTTCCTGCATTTAAGCTTGCTTCTCTAGACCATCACTCCTCTGGCCCTTTGACCCAGTAACAAGTAACCCCAGGGCTACAGGAAATTGGGGTTTCTGAAGGAGGACACAGACCCCCTTCCCCTAGAGCCACCCCTTCCACTGTGCTCAGTGACCTGCTCAGGACCAGAGGGGAACTGCAAGGCTCACTAGAGTGAGGTGTGAGTAAGGCCATAGACTGCTGCCTTGTTTGGATCCTTGACCACAGAATCTGTAGCTTTATGGTTTAACTCTCTAACGTCATTTGGAGTCCTTAGGGGGGCAGGTGTGTCAGCAAATCATACTGGACCCAATCCTAGAGGCTAAAGACAAATTTCAGCCCTGGTGAGGAGGGTGAGAGTACAGGTTTTATCATCAATTACATGACCTCTTGTCCTCTGCCTGAAACAGTAGTGTTCTCTCTTTTTGAGGACAACAGATTTCCAGGGCAGCCCACAGACCTTGAATGTCAGATTCTTTCTTTCTTTTTTTTGAGACAGAGTCTCACTTTGTTGCCCAGGCTAGAGTGAGTGCTGTGGCATCAGACTAGTTCACAGCAATCCCAAACTCCTGGGCTCAAGCAATCCTCCTGCCTCAGCCTCCCGAGTAGCTGGGACTACAGGCATGTGCCACCATGCCCGGCTAATTTTTTCTATATATTTTTATTTGGCCAATTAATTTCTTTCTATTTTTAGTGGAGATGGGGGTCTCGTTCTTGCTTAGGCTGGTTTCGAACTCCTGACCTCAAGCAATCCGCCCGCCTCGACCTCCCAGAGAGCTAGGATTACAGGCGTGAGCCACCGCGCCCGGCCGAATGTCAGATTTAAAGCTGCAATACAGTACTTACCACTTTGGACTTTGTGTGCTCTTCCTAGAGCCAGATCAGGTGGACTTTTTATTTTATGCCTTCCTTCAAACTTTTACCATCTCTTCAGGCCTATCAGGCATACCAGAGTTTCCACAGACAAACTCTCAAGGAAGAGAAAGTCGGCCTTTTGGAGTTAGGGATAAACAGACACAGGCTATCTGTGTGGGAAAGGCAAAGCTTCGTGGAGGAGGAGACATTTTGAGCTAGGCATGGAAAATTGGTCAGGATAGAGATGGGTATGAGAAGGCCATTTAGAGGAAAGGAACAATAAACAAACACTGAATGTTTTCTGAATGCAACTGTGTATCTAAGTTTCCCCTGGCACCTGCAAAAATGGCTCATCAGCACTTAGTGGCAGGAAGGGAGAAGCTTAAGGAGTCCTTGGTCACACTAATGGAAGTACTGCCTAAGCCAAGGTGACCCTGTCAGCCAATGTGACCTCCAGCATTCTTTCTCTAACCCTAAAATGCTAAGGTTTACTGGACAAAGCCTCCTTAGGGTGTTCTAATCTTATCCACCAAACGATCCACTTTAAGGCCCTGTGCTTTCATTTTTCCCTACTTGGGGTGGGGAACCTGTGGCCTTGTTGAATCCAAATTTAATAACAGGATTTGTTCTATGAAGTTTGGATTTGGTTGAAGGATCATACTTGGGGATCTGGAGGGACACACGTGGCCTTGAGGCCGAAAGTTCCCCAAGCATGTAAGGAGGGCAGAAACTGGAGCATTCCAACACACAGGATGTAGGGATGAAATGGGGCCTTGATCAAGATTTGGAAGATGCGCTGTGGCTCACACCTGTAATCCTAGCACTCTGGGAGGCCGAGGCAGGAGGATCCTTTGAGTTCAGGAGTTCGAGACCAGCTTTAGCAAGAGCGAGACCCCATCTCTACTAAAAACAGAAAGAAATTAATTGGCCAACTAAAAATATACATAGAAAAAATTAGCCGGGCATGGTGGTGCATGCCTGTAGCCCCAGCTACTCAGGAGGCTGAGGCAGGAGGATCGCTTGAGCCCAGGAGTTTGAGGTTGCTGTGAGCTAAGCTGACACCATGGCACTCTAGCTTGGGCAACAGAGTGAGACTTTGTCTCAAAAAAAAAAAAAAAAAAAAAAAAGATTTGGAAGACAAAGAAGGCATCAATGAACAATGGATCAAGTGCCCCTTCCTTCCTGCTGCAGTTCAGCCTGCTTTTCCTTGGCACCAGAGTTCACCTGTCTGCCCTTGTTCACTGGCTGCCGGCTAGCTAACCTGACTCACTTATTCCAGGAAGAACAGCTAGGACTAAGGAGACTTTGGGTCCTCTCTTAGGTAAAATAGTTTCCATAGGCAATGCTTTAATTTAAAAGGGTGGCACCTCTGACCCATTGCAGGAGGGGGGAGGTCTGAAACATATGTGGAAAGTCCTGTGCTGCAAAAGGGGCCAATGCCCTTCCAGATGAACTGCAGCCGATCTTATTCCCCCCTGCTGGGGGAGGACTGCTCTAAGGGAATTGTGTGAGCCAGGAAGCTGCCTATCACCCCTAAACTGGTCCAAGAAGCTGAGACATCCCTCAAACCTCCACCTCAGAATCCATTCTGTGAGAAGCCAGTAACCCAGTAATGACTCAGCACCAGACTCCTCTTTCCCTCTCCCCACCAGCCAGAAGGAACGGAGAATGAAGCAGACTCCTCCCCATTGGAGGGCCACATCGTCACCACAAACTGAGTCACGGCCACACCCTGCCTGGATGGAAATTTACCAGGAGAGGACAGAAGGGGAAGGTTAAACTCCAGAGGTTTTTAATTTCTCAATCCAGAAATTGTAGTCATCTACTCTCTACCTAGAACTAATAATTCTTTTCCTGATCTAGCCCTTAACCAGGCATGGCCAGGTCTAAATGAAGTGAGGTTGCTTGAGCTTAGGACTATGTGAAAGGTAGGCGGCCACTGCCAACCCGTATGTGCAGTATTTCTAACAGTCTTGGCCCCTGGGGAGGAGGATGCCTTGTTACTTACATCTGGCTTTCACCGGCCCCAGCTCTCCCACCTCCGAGGTAGTGAGGCCCAGGTAGGGGAAAGGGGCAACCCTCCCTCAATTTCCCCTCCAGGGTGTGGGACGGTTTCTCTCCAGAAATTCAGGGACCCACGCAGCAAGTTTCCCATCATTCACTAGAATGAAGGTGTTCTAGTGTTTGTGGGGTTTTAAGGAGCTTTGTTTTACCTCATATATAGTTGAATTTTATAAGATAGGATTATCTGTAGCTTTCAAATTTCTGATCCAAAAAGTCCTATTGCTCCTAGCACTCTGGGAGGCTGAGGGTGGATTTCTTGAGGTCAGGAGTTGGAAACTAGCCTGCGAACAAGATGTGGAGACCCCCATCCTTACTAACAAATAGATAACGAAATTAAGTGGCCAACTGAGAATATATCACGTCAGAAAAATTTAGCCAGGGCGTGATGGCCGCATGGCCTGTAGTCCCAGCTACTTGAGAGGCCTGATGCGCAGCAAGATTGCCTTGAGGCCCAGGGAAGGTTTGAGGTTGCTGTGGAGCTGGGGCTGACACCACGGCACGTCACTCTAGCCTGGGCAACAAAGAGTGAGAACTCTGCCTCAAAAAAAAAAAAAAAAGAAGAAGAAAAACTACACTAGAGTAAGAAACCTATCCTTGAAAAGCCAGGCTTGTTTAATATTTTTCGTATTCTCTGTGTGTATATTTCTGTTTTTATTTTTTTTTTTTTTATTTTTTTTTTTTTTGGACAGAGTCTCCGCTTTGGTGCCCAGCTAGATGCATGAGTGCCGTGGCGTCAGGCCTAGCTCACAGCAACTCAAACTCCTGGGCTCGAGTGGTCCTTTTCTGCCTCAGTCCCTCCCAGGGTAGCTGGGACTACAGGCATGCGCCACCGATGAACCCGGGCCTAATGTTTTTATATATATATCAGTTGGGCCAATTATTTTCTTTCTTTTATAGAGAGGACGGCGGATCTCGCTCTTGCTCAGGCTGGTTTCGAACTCCTGACCTTGGGCAATCCGCCGCCTCTGCCTCCCAAGAGCTAGGATTACAGGCGTGAGCCACAGCGCCCGGCCTGTTTTTATTATTTAATAAAATATTTGGACACGTCCAACTATCTCAGCTATGCTTAGAAGGGTTTGGGGTACATGTTGCACAGCCGGAAAAGCCAGCAGGCAGCTTGTCATGGTAATATCAACACGGAGAAGATATATTAACAAAATTAGGTCTCCTGCTGCCTTCCTCACCACCCTGCTAACCTTACAGAATCTGGGTTTTGTTTCATTAAGGGAAGCTGCATTACCTTAGAATGTCTTTACAGATTTCAAGTTAAAGACCAACACAACTTCCTGCTCCTGCCAGCTGTCCCCCAACCTCACTTATCCCAAAGAAATAAGTAGGAGAAGGAAGAGGGTAGGGGCCCAGCCCTGAGATACAGAGCAAAGGAGACTGGGTAGGCTTTGTGCAGAAAGTAGTAGGCTATCCCCGAGCTGCTTTGGCCTCAATAGCCTTTAACATTTTGACTAACAGTCACTAGTGGTATTCTATTTTTTTTTTTTTTTTTTTTGAGACAGAGTCTCACTTTGTTGCCCCGGCTAGAGAGTGAGTGCCGTGGCATCAGCCTAGCTCACAGCAACCTCAAACTCCTGGGCTCAAGCGATCCTGCTGCCTCAGCCTCCCAAGTAGCTGGGACTACAGGCATGCGCCCCATGGCGGCTAATTTTTTCTATATGTATTTGTTGGCCAATTAATTTTCTTCTTATTTATAGTAGAGACGGGTCTCGCTCTTGCTCAGGTTGGTTTCGAACTCCTGAACTCAAACGATCCACCTGCCTTGGTCTCCCAGAGAGCTAGGATTACAGGCGTGAGCCACCAAGCCCGGCCACTGGTGGTATTCTATATCCTGTTTGTTTCATCTGTGTAACTGGTAAGTTTCCTTTTAATCTATTGATTAAAAAAAAGCTGACAGATCTGTAGTATACTACATTAAATGATCTCAGCTTTGATTCCATGCAACATAAATAGTCCCAACCCTCAGGATATTCGACTCTCCCCACCCTCATCCCCATTTGGGGGCTTGGAGTAGGTGCTGGCCCAAGGCTAGTCAGACCACAGTGATCATATCCAGTCCACAGCACCTTCCATTTTATTGTTTTATTTACAAACAGGGTGAAGTCAACTGGGAAAATCAGGGGTTGAAGTCAGTCTGGGCCATCCAAACGTAGAGTGGTTCCTGGGTCAAGTTCCACCACGAAGGCCACCTCTTCTTTTCCTTGCCCCCTTGGTAATGGCCCCTTGATTCCTCAGGGCAGCTTCACCTGCTGCACCTGAGCCCTTTTATGAGGGCAGATGGATCCTGGGGGAACAGGGGTGGTACGAGGGCTGGGGCCCCCTCAGTTTGTGTAAACCTGAGTTCCGATCACACGCATGATTTCCTTCTGTATCTTGGGGTCCTGAGTATTTATGTTGGCATCGCCCACCTGACCATCCTCATATCTGCCAAAGATAGGGCAAGTGTGAGTATAAAACAGAGAACAATACCAGACTGTGAACCAGTAGAACTGTATTTCAAGGTGTGGCCAATCCATCCCAGAATTCGAAACCCTTTCTAGCTACTCTTCAGAGTGGAAGAGATTCAGTTTATCTAGTTTCCTCTAGAGAGACCTGAATGCTCTATACCCATTCCTATCCTCCAAGGGGAAAGTCCCAGTGCCAGCCCCACTCAGGTAGCCAGGGACAAACCTCATATAACAGAAACAGTCTTTCCCAGTAGTCACACACCATCACACCCCCGCCCTCACTCCTCAAGTAATCCCTAGAGTCCCTCCTGGACTTACACAAAGAAGAACCGTGTGCAGACATGGTCAGATACAGGGCACACCCAGATGTTCCCATGCTTCTGGAGGTCCTTGGATGTAATCACTGGGAAGAAGGCGGCCAGAAGTAATAGATACAACGTTTAAGGCACAGAGTCCATGAAGGAAAGGGAAACCATGCTGTTTTAACATCACCCTTGGCCAGATCATATGCCAAAGTTGTATCAAATAAAGGTTGGGGATCCCAAAAACCAGGGCATGGATAAGCTACCTACCTTCACAAAGTGCTATACAGTTTAGATTCCGACTCTGCAGGAACCTTGACTGAATGGATCGGGTCTGGAAGAGAAGGAGGCAAAGGAAAGCCGAGCCAGGCAGATGGTTACGGTTTCCCTAGCGAGGCTGATTGGCTGCTGCTGATTGGGGTGGGGATCAGGGATATCCTGGGCTCCCAGCCACCCACCAAAATTTTTCTTTCCCATAATCAGTCTGTATGGGGCCACAGCTTCCATCTTTGCATGTTTATCTAAACTCAGCCTCTGCTTTCATACTTGTAACTGAGGCAACGTATGACTCTGGAAGTGTATGCACCTTAGAATATACCTGATTCCTTTCAATGATCTTCAAACCGTCACCCCTGCCCATCTCTTTAAGCTAAAATAGCCCCAGGGAAGGGTCCTGCCTCATTAGAGCAGGCCAACTAATACCTGGGGGATGGTATTCATCCTGTTATATCTCTGGACCAGCTCATCCTTGGAGGGCATCCTGTGCTGTCCTTTTCCCATTCCTGTCACAGAACAACAAACCCAGTTCATTCATCCATTCCTTAATCAAATATTTACTGAAGTGCCTACTATGTGCCAGCACTGAGCTAGACACTTGACAATAGGTAGAGAATAAAACAAACGAGGTATTTGTCCCCACAGAATTTAGTCTGGTGGACATTACAAGCAAGAAACATGTAATTATAACACAGCATGTAAGGGTTGTGATGGGGAGAGAACAGAGCACTGTGTGAGCCAGAGGAGGGGAACTAGCCTAGCCTAGGTATTTGAAGGAGGCATCCTAGTGACAGCTAGGCTGAGAACCAGAGGATTAGGAGAGTTAATTACGTGAAAGGGGGTGGGAGAGGGAAGTATCCTGGGCAGAAGTAATAGGATATAAAGGCCTGAGGGAAAGATAAAGCACTGTGCCTTAGTTTGTACAGAGAATAGTCAATAGGAGAGAGAGAAATGATGTGGAAGCTAGGATCAGAGCAAGCAGGCCTTGCAGGCCATGTTAAGGCAACTGCAGTTTTTCCTCAGAACATAAAGGAACCACTGAAGAGTTCTAAGATAGGGGATTAAGACAGGAAATGAGCCAGAAATGAGGGGCCCAAGAGACTGGGATATCAACACTTCAGCATCAAATGCCAGGCTGAGCAAAATGAGTGGGGAGGAAGCAAGCAGAGCAAGTCAGATCTTGTCTAGTCTCCAAGTTACATAAAAAACCTGACCAGTCATTCGGGAGAAAAGGAGAAAGCACAGCAAAGTGATGAATAATTTTCCACAGGTCATCACAATGGCAACTACCTTGAAGAACTATACTTCCTTCCTAGACTGGAGAAAGGAGTGCCAATTCCTTCTCTCTAAATCCATAAATCCTCTGCTATCTTTACCCCCTATTGAATAGGCCTGTTCTTAGATTTACAGACTCTACCTGGACTTTTCTTTTTTTTTTCTTGAGACAGAGTCTCACTCTGTTGCCCAGGCTAGAGTGTGTGGCCTCAGCCTAGCTCACAGCAACCTCAAACTCCTGGGCTCAAGTGATCCTACTACCTCAGCCTCCCAAGTAGCTGGGACTGCAGGCATGCGCCACCATGCCCGGCTAATTTTTTGTATATATTTTTAGTTGGCCAATTTCTTTCTATTTTTAGTAGAGATGGGGTCTCGCTCTTACTCAGGCTGGTTTCAAACTCCTGACCTTGAGCAATCCACCTGCCTCGGCCTCCCAAAGTGCTAGGACTACAGGTGTGAGCCACCATGCTTGGCCTGGATTTGTATTATTTAGATATAACACAGTGCTTATGGTGCCCCTACTCCCAACCCAACTCTTTTTAGCTTGAGGATAGGACTTCAGTCTCTGTACTCAACTTTTTCATAGGCCCAGTTTTATCAGAGTTAGGGACAAAAGTATGTGAGACAGACACACAAAGAAAGAGAATAGACAAGAAGGAGATGCATGAAGATGCAAATAATGCTATTATTACAGGCCATAAGCACCCTCACTGCTCTAGTCTGGAACTTTCTATCATTATTAACTCCACTCTGCCTCAATTCTTGGCTTTGTGACAGCCATGGTATAGAGACCGGGTGGTAACTGTTGAACTGACATTCTTTAGTACTCAGGCTATCAACTCATCATGAAGTTACACTGAAGTCTCATGACAGATTCAGAGCCTGAACAAAAATCAGCACAATGAGAGCCTCAAGGCCTAATTGCCAATTTCTTCCTTTTACAGGATACTCTCAACCTCTCTGTTTCTACCTTCTCCATTAGCCTTAACTAGTTTGAGCTCTCCATCCAAACATCATGGCCTTCTCAATGTGGGTGTATCAGTGACAAGGTTCTAAGTGAAATTCTCATTCAGATTCTACGCCAGGGGAGGCAGACAAGAGGATAAGAATAATCTGATTTCTATGGCAGGTGATGGCCCTATAAGATGGCTCTTATGATATAGCCCAAATCTTGTCCCAACCCAAATCCTACTGCACACCTTCCTTTCCATACTGACCCAGTGATCTTCTGTCCATTTCTTGAGACCAGACCCTGAGACCATAGTGGCCTGAATTATCCCTGGATGCTTTGTGTTCTGAGTGTGAACTTACCAGAAGTCCCTAAACAGAATCCGAACATGGAGTTTACCATCTCCTTTCTCACTGTCCCTCGTTTCAACCTGCACACTACCGCCAAATCATTGGAGATTCCACTGGTTAAGTGAACTCTATTTACACCAACCCACACCCCTAGAAGGTATCCAGCGCCACTAAGCTAAAGGTGCCCTGAGGTAGAAAAATATAGAAAACCAGAACAGGAGAGAAGAAAACATACCAGACAGCTGGTCAAATGCTAGAGTAGCTACAGTAAGTGGAACATTTACACATATGCCCTCTACCACATTGCAGAGACTCTCATCTATCTATGAGACCATTCAAGACCCAGTCATTCAAGCAAAGGCTACTCTAGCCTAGAAGTTAAGAGACTGGGACTTCAGTCCTAGCTTTGCTACTCATAGCTGTGTGACCATGGGAAAGTCATTTAACTTCTCTGTATATCAGCATTCTTATCTGTAAAGTAATAAGGAATTCTCAGCAGGGGTGGGGAACCTGCAGCCTTGGGGCCACATGTGGCCTTCTGGATCACTGAGTGCAGCTTTTAGACTGAATCCAAATTTTATAGAACAAATCTTTTTACTAAAAGGGGTACAGCAGAGAAAGATGAAGCTTTTCTTGGCTCCTTTGGGGCTTAAAAAAGATTGGTGATACAGAGTGTCACTCTGTCACCCCAGGTAGAGTACAGTGGTGTCACCATAGCTCACAGCAACCTCAAACTCCTGGGCTCAAGTGATCCTCCTCCCTCAGCCTCCTGCGTAGCTGGAACTACAGGCACATGCCCCAGCACCCAGCTAATTATTCTATTTTTAGCAGAGACAGGGTCTCGCTCTTGCTTAGGCTGGTCTCCAACTCCTGAAAGCTCAAGTGATCCTCCCACCTTGGCCTCCCATAGTGCTAGGATTACAGGTGTGAGCCACCATTGCTGGCCTGACAAAGAACAATCATGGATCAGAAGGTTGCAGGTTCCCCATACCTGGTAGATGATCTATACCTTCAATAGTAAAGGCCTATGGTATTTTGTATCTATAGTCAATCACCCTTTGAGAGAGAGAGAAGAATGGTGTCTATTATGGTTTTACGTAATCAGTAAAGCAATGAAGACAGACAAGTAGGCAATAGAGATTCCTGGCTGTATCTGGTAACTAAAGGTATTCAGGCACTTAGTGGTAAACAAAGGCCAGTGGGAGAAAAGAGAAGGAAAAAGAGATAGGGAGAAAATAAGAAGGAAGAATCTTGTGGGCACCAAGAGAAGCAGGATAACTTCTCACTACTCAAATAATAATAACAGCTTAATCAGAGGGATGCTAAGGGTGGGCCAAAGATAAAAACTGAGGAATCAAGACAAAGAAACCAAAAAGACTATACCAACCCCACTCCTACTTTGGACTCCAGGTACACGGAGTAAGACTCACTCACACATTCAGTAAATATTTATTGGGCACTTACCCTATGTGAATCAATCATAACCTGTTTCATGACACATTATCACTTTTTAATAGGACAATGAATATCCAGAGACCGAACCCAAGAACTAAATCCAAGAATTAAAACATTGCCTGCCTCCTCTTGGGAGGTAATCACTACTCTGAAATTTGAGTTCTCATTCTCTTGCTTTTCTGTCTTTAGTTTTACACACAAGTGCCTATTAATTCTGTTTGCTTTTGAATAATATAAAAAAGGAATCAGGCTGGGCGCGGTGGCTCACGCCTGTAATCCTAGCACTCTGGGAGGCCGAGGCGGGCGGAGTGCTCCAGGTCAGGAGTTCAAAACCAGCCTGAGCGAGACCCCGTCTCTACTAAAAACAGAAAGAAATTAGTTGACCAACTAATATAGATATAGAAAAAATTAGCCGGGCGTGGTGGCGCATGCCTGTAGTCCCAGCTACTTGGGAGGCTAAGGCAGGAGGATCGCTTGAGCCCAGGAGTTTGAGGTTGCTGTGAGCTGGGCTGACACCACGGCACTCACTCTAGCCTGGGCAACAAAGCGAGACTCTGTCTCAAAAAAAAAAAAAAGAAAGAATTTTTACTATATCTATGGTTATGGTGCCTTTTCCATTCATTATATTATTTAATCGTACCCCTTTCCTTCTTAATCAATCTAACCAGTTTTGTTTGTTCTTTAAAAGAATCTTTTTTTGGTCTTACCTATTGTACTATTTTTATTTCACTGATTTTGGTTCTTACCTATATTATCTCATTTCTTCTACTTTGGTTTAATCTGTTGGTAGAGACTTTTTTAGTTCTTTGATTCTTGCACTAAATTTTTCTTATAACAGTTACAATTACTGCAGAATACTAGATAACCAGTAAAGAATCTAGTACAATCCCCTTCATATGGTGAACACACAACTATGTGGTGGCTACACCTTATACAGAGACTACGCTGAACAAGAACAAAAGCAGACTGAAAAGAAACTAAGAAGGCATGAACCAGAAAGACCGAGAGAGGTCTAAGTTGGATTCCTTTTCTGAGTTGGATTCATCTCCTGATTAGAATCTGAACCTCATTCATGTCTTTAGGATAAAATGCTTTCTTTTCTATTCAAAGTGACAATACAATAGTATACGATTACAGACAGTTTAAATTTCAAAATATGGTTGACAGATAGAACGATGTCTTCAGAAATATAAGCCAATGGAAAGGACTCAAACCTTCAGGAGTATTCACACATAAACTCACATGCACATGTGCACACAATCTATAATAGCCAACAAAAAAATGTAGTCTACAAAAAGCCTTGTTATCTCCCAGTTATTCCTCAAGCCTTTCCGAGGGCCAACCCCCTACAATAAATAAAACCATCATTTTTAACAATAATTGGCCTCACCCTGGAAAGAATCTAAATTTCTAATAAGAAAATGTAGAGAAACAGGCTATGCACCTATGACTTGGGAGAGAGCTGACATAGACCAAGTATCTATGATGGGGAAGACAGTACAGATCATGTGTTCACAAATGGATGCAATGTATATAGAGTCAAGGTGGCCAGAGAATATTTCTTACCTGAGTATCCAAAGGAAATACTGGAGATGGGGCTCAGGTAGATGCCTTTGCCATAGGCTGCTCCATGCAGCTTGCAGGGAAACACCAGGATGAGCAATATGAGCCTGGGCTCTCCGATGGCTATATAACAGGCAGCCACAAGGCTTATCCAGCCCTCTGTCCCTCCATTTACCTTCTCACTCATTCAAATAACTCTAAGCACCTACTCTTGAAAAGCTGACTGGTTGAGAAGTAGATGCAGGTTAGCCCACTTTCCTATGAAATACCAGATATTGATGCCTTGGAGAGTGGGAAGTGGCAGAGCCACTGAATCAGTCCCTCAGCAACCACACTCCTGTCCCCAGGCCTTACATATGCAGATTCCAAAAGAGAGGGACTATGGAACAGATAGCCAGCAGGGACAATACCCATTCCCTGAAATTTCTCAGGGCAAAGAAACAAGTCTCCCATATCAACTCTTTGAATGAATAGCCACATAAATGAAATGCTCTAATAGGTTAATTCATCACAGTGGCTGCAATCAGCAATTCCACATTCCTGCCTACAGGTACATTCCCATTCCCAAAACCACCAAAAACAGCCTGAGATCAAATATACAACAGCCACATTCACTTCATGCATATAGTTCCACCTTTCTCTCTAAGGAAGCCCCCAAGACAGGCTAGGCTTTTTTTTTGCTGAGGCAAAAACACCTGCATACTCTAGAGCAGTTTATCCCAAAACCGTGTGGGGCAGAGAAAGGGTGGAGAGAAAGGAAAGGGGCACAGCCTCACCTGCAGTTTGGTGTAGGATGCATTGACTAGCCCATTGCGCAGGATCGAATGCCAGTTCTCGATGTGGGACCCACTGTAAGGCAGGGCAGAACACATGTCTCCTCATGGTATGAGGCTCCCAGGAGCACTTCCAAGACTCCCATTCCCACCCATTCTCACCCACACAGGACATGAAGATGGACAGAGACACACCTAGTAATGGACACGCACATGGATATAGTCACAGGTACGCAAGATACTTGTGTGTGTGTGGTTAAACCCTACATCTTTATTTCCAGTTTTCATCCTCTCTTCTGTGCTTCAGTTAATCCCATCCTAAATCCTCAAATGCTGGTTCAGTATTTTCTTTTGCCCTTTCTTCTGATATTTCAAACTAAACAAATTCTTCTCAAACTCAACAAACTTATCACTGATGCCAAATATGGCTTTTAATACTGATTTCATGTTCTAGTTTAAGAAACAGATACAACCAACTCCAAGTTACCTTTAATACCTCTCTTTTTCTCTCCCCCATCTTACAATTAGGCATAAATTGTGGATTTTCTTTCAAAGTAGCTTTAAAATCTATCCCCTCCAATCTGTTCCTTCAACCACATCTTTTTATATGTAAATATTATTTCTCTTCAACTACATCATAAGCAGTTTGGGAATAAAGACCACATCACATCATATTTATCTTTTTATCCTCCACAGCAGATACCACAATAGCATTTAATAAGCATTTGCTGGCCGGGCGAGGTGGCTCACGCCTGTAATCCTAGCTCTCTGGGAGGCCGAGACGACGGGCGGATTGCTCAAGGTCAAGAGTTCGAAACCAGCCTGAGCAAGAGCGAGACCTCGTCTCTACTATAAATAGAAAGAAATTAATTGGCCAACTAATATATATAGAAAAAATTAGCCGGGCATGGTGGCGTATGCCTGTAGTCCCAGCTACTTGGGAGGCTGAGGCAGTAGGATTGCTGAGCCCCGGAGACTGAGGTTGCTGTGAGCTAGGCTGACGCCATGGCACTCACTCTAGCCTGGGCAACAAGTGAGACTCTGTCTCAAAAAAAAAAAAAAAAAAAGCATTTGCTGACTAGTTGATGGACACAGGTAACACAAATTCATATACCTCAAGAGCACTCTTCCCACCCCCTCCCGCCCACTGCCCAGCCCCCAGCCTCCTCACTGGAAGGCAAAGGTGCTGCCGTAGAGCTTCTTGGCGGTCCGGAACCGAGCCTCCTTGGCAGGAGGGCTGCTCAGCAGGAGGAACTGGTGTGAGGTGTGCATGAACTTCAGCTGCTGCCCAGGGTGGGGGTGGGATCAGGAAAACAGAGCAGAAATCGAGATCAGGGAGGGAAAGGTTGCACTGACCCCACACAAGGGAAACATGCTAAGGCGCAAACCCCATGTTGATGGACAGAGCTAACCAGGCAGATCTAGATCAATATGGTTAACTGACTTAGAGCCCCTCACCAGAAATTTAGAAGAGTTTAGAGGCAAAATGGTCACTTACCCTGCTGAGAGGTAGTTTGACAATGTGTGACCTGTTGCTAGAGATGATCCTGGGAAGAAACAGAAAAAAAGGAAAGGACAGAATGTTACATACACACTACCTATGTGGTTAAGCTATCCTGAAACAAATAGCCTTCCTCTGCCCTTGGGAGAACAAGTAAGGATTCCTGGGCTGGGGAAATGTCCAGTTCACTATCTGGATATTCCTTTTGGTACAAAAATGTAAAAAGGAAGCTACTGACCAGAGATCAGCTAGCTACTAGAGAATTAAACAATGGATGAAAGAAAGAAAGGGGTTGAAGATGAGCTGCTATATCTAGGGAGAAAATGATACAACAAAAGGAAGAGCATGAAGTCACCTAGAAAAAAAAAGAAAGGTCTAAATTAGGATGGTGATGATTTATACCTGGGATTTAGACTCAGACTCAGACTCAGACTCAGAACTGGGGCTCAGGAACCATCCTGCCTGAGCTCAGAGGAAGCCTGAAGGCTCTCGGGGATTGGGAGGAATGTAAAGAAAGTTACTGTCTAGGCAGAAGTAGGTAGAAGTAACTAGAATGATTGTCCTGAGGAGTCAGAAGAGATCAGACTGTGTATAGGCTGAACTCAGAGGACAGTAAAAAACAAAGGCATAAAAACCTTGAGGGCTCGGCAAGAGAGCACTATATTCTACAGTGGACACAGTTTGTTTTTTCCGTGCCTCATCTATGTACTTGTGATGCTACCCTGGATGGTCTATGCCCAGTTATTCCTCAGGCTGAGAGGAAGGAAGCTGTTGCACTGAGAAAGTACTGATGTCAAAGGCTGACTAGGAAGAGGAGGGCAGGCTAGAAGGGGAAAGCTATGTCAGGAAAACAGAAAAGAAGGTCAGGGAGGGAGGACAGTGGGGAATAGTCAGAATCTGTGCTAAGAGAAGGAAATAACAACAGTGCCTCAAGGGTCTCAACATTCTCCATCATCTGGGAAGACCCTGAGATAGGGGAAGGGGATAGCAGGGTGAGACAGACCTCTCTGAATACACAGAAAACTTACTGAAATTAATAGTGTTAATTCCTACATGCAAATGACACTCAAAAACCTATTGGTGGTGACTATAGTTATTAACAATGCATTATATTCTTAAAAATCATGGAGAGAGGCCGGGCGCTGTGGCTCACGCCTGTAATCCTAGCTCTTGGGAGGCCGAGGCGGGCGGATTGCTCAAGGTCAGGAGTTCAAAACCAGCCTGAGCAAGAGCGAGACCCCGTCTCTACTATAAATAGAAAGAAATCAATTGGCCAACTGATATATATATATAAAAAATTAGCCGGGCATGGTGGCACATGCCTGTAGTCCCAGCTACCAGGGAGGCTGAGGCAGAAGGATCACTTGAGCCCAGGAGTTTGAGGTTGCTGTGAGCTAGGCTGACGCCACGGCACTCACTCTAGCCCGGGCAACAAAAGCGAGACTCTGTCTCAAAAAAAAAAAAAAAAATCATGGAGAGAATAGATTTCCAAGGGCTCTCAACACAAAAAACACACGTGAGATAATGCATATGTTAATTAGCTCTAGTGAGCCACTCCACAATGTACACATATTTCAAAATATCACATTGTGCACAATAAATTGATACAATTTTCATTTGGCAATTTATTTTTTTAATTATTATGAGTTCGGGGTCTCACTCTTGCTCAGCTGGTCTTGTACTCCTGAGCTCAAGCAATCCTCCCACCTCAGCCTCCAAGAGTGCTAGGATTACAGGCATGAGCCACCGTGCCCAGCCTTCATTTGGCAATTTAAAAAGTAAATGAATTGGCCAGTACGGTGGCTCACGCCTGTAATTCTAGCACTCTGGGAGGCCAAAGCAGGCAGATCACTCAAGGTCAGGAGTTCGAAACCAGCCTGAGCAAGAGCGAGACCCTGTCTCTACTAAAAATAGAAAGAAATTACTTGGCCAGCTAAAAATACATATAGAAAAAATTAGCCGGGGATGGTGGCACATGCCTGTAGTCCCAGCTACTCCGGAGGCTGAGACAGAAGCACTGCTTGAGCCCAGGAGGTTGAGGTTGCTGTGAGCTATGATGACACCACGGCACTCTAGCTGGGACAACAGGGTAAGACTCTGTCTCAAAAATAAATAAATTAATTAATTAAGAAAACAAAAAGAACCTATTGGGAAACATGGAACACTAAGAACTTGAAAAATCATGTCAGAATTTGTGGGCCTTTATAGGACCTGAGTTCTTGTTAATGTAAGGTGTAAGGGCCGGGCGCGGTAGCTCACGCCTGTAATCCTGACATTCTGGGAGGCTGAGGTGGGCAGATTGCTCGAGTTCAGGAGTTCGAGACCAGCCTGAGCAAGAGTGAGACCCCATCTTTACTATAAATAGAAAGAAATTAATTGGCCAACTAAAAATATATAGAAAAAATTAGCCAGGCATAGTGGTGCATGCCTGTAGTCCCAGCTACTCGGGAGGCTGAGGCAGGAGGATTGCTTGAGCCCAGGAGTTGGAGGTTGCTGTGAGCGAGGCTGACGTCACGGCACTCACTCTAGCCTGGGCAACAGAGCAAGGCTCTGTCTCAAAAAAAAAAAAAGAATAGAACTCCAAGAAAAAGCAGTCATACAGTCTATAACCTTAGAAAGGATGCTGAAGCTGCCTCTAAGAGAAGGTGTAGGCCCCATGTCCAATGCCCCCGTCCCTCCCCATGCCCTGGAAAGGATGAGCCATGCTATTCATACCACTGCAGGAGAGGATGGGCCAGGGGATCCAACTTGTCCATCTGCTTCTTGATTTCCAAATATGAACCCTGTAAAACAATGGCCATAAGGTTATCTCCCAGGAGAGGCAGGTGCCCTCCCACTTTCCACAGCCTGACTATCAGAGCCCAGGGCGAGGTAGGCACGAAAGGCCACACAGAGGAGAGGAGATGGGGTTCCCACCCTCAAGGAGCCCCAGTCATTTGGGCAGACTCATAAATAAATATGAAAATGACTGAAGATGCTTACAAAACAACATGCAGGTGGGTCTCCCTCATTTTATGCAATTCCTACAGCCCTAAAAAGTTGATTATAAATCAAAAAATAAATAAAACCAATGTCCCAGAAAGATTAGGCTAAGGAATCCTGTGGTAAATCTTTACAGAAAGCAAAGAGTCCTGACAGGTAAATCATCCCTCCTAGGTGTATCTGATGTGTCAATCTGAACTGTGATATATAGGATTTGCTGAGAAGAGGCCCACCTGTAAATGTGAATACAAATGAATGTCTATTCATGCAGAGATTGCAGACGAGGGGTGGGGAAGTCTGGTGAGGGACAGCCTTGAGTCAAAGGATGGTCACTGCTCCATGTGGCTGCCCCACCCCTAGAAGGATAGAAGATGTAGGCCCCTGGGGGTCTAGTTCCTTACCTCCAAGACCCCCTCCTCTCCCTCCCAACCCCACTTCTCTAATTCCCTAAGAACTATGGGAAAACATTAAATATGAACAACTTGTGAAAGATTTAGCAGCAAGGTAAAGGTTGAGAGCAACACTAAGAGTGAAGAGAATACAGAGAAGTAACAGAGCTAACAAGACAGAGAACAAGAATTGGAAAGGCTAAAGAAGGAAGACTAAAAAAAAATACAGCCAGGAATTTGAGTAGCTTCTCTAAATCCTCATCTTACTCCCACAAATTATAAGCAGAATAGGGCATTTGAGGTGGGCAGGCAGCAGGGAAGGGACAGACAGAAGGCAGAATACCTGGGTCATCTCCCGAATAGACATCACACTATCCAGAGCTTTCTGAAGTCGCTCATAATTCTTCTTCTGTGGGGAATCAATGGGAAGAGAAGAACCATATGAAGAACAGAGGAGAGTAAGGATGTGATGAGAAAGAGGGCCAGAGGTACACAAGTCTAGGCCCATGGAAACAGGGTAGTATGTCATTGAAAGAACAGATTTAATGACAGTTCTGGTATAATAGGCTAGTCCTCTTCTACCAACTGGGAGTAATAGGGTAAGTTACTTGACCTCTTAGAACCTTAGCATTCTTGTTTGCAAATGAAGATAATTTCTACCCCTCACAGAAATGTTTTGAGGATTAAATAACATATATAAAATACTCAGTATAGGCCGGGCGCAGAGGCTCACGCCTGTAATCCTAGCACTCTGGGAAGCCGAGGCGGGCAGATCATTTGAGCTCAGGAGTTCAAGACCAGCCTGAGCAAGAGCAAGAACCCGTCTCTACTAAAAATAGAAAGAAATTAATTGGACAACTAAAAATATACAGAAAAAATTAGCCGGGCATGGTGGCGCATGCCTGTAGTCCCAGCTACTTGGGAGGCTGAGGCAGAAGGATCGCTTGAGCCCAGGAATTTGAGGTTGCTGTGAACTAGGCTGACACCATGGCACTCTAGCCCAGGCAAAAGACGGAGACTTTGTCTCAGGAAAAAAAAAAAAAGAACTTAGTATAGTGCCTGATATATAGTAATGACGGTTATAGTGGGGTACTGTGCTGGCTAATTGTGATGGTTAATTTTACATGTCAACTTCACTGGACCATGAGGTGCCCAGACATTTGGTCAACCATTATTTCTGGGTGTGTCTAGTCTATAGGGTATTTTTGGCTGAGATTAACATTTGAATCAGTAGACTGAGAAAAGCAGATTGTCCTCTAATGTGGAAGGGCCCCATGCAATCAAATGATGACCTGAATAAAAATAAAGGGCTAAGGCTAGGCGCGGTGGCTCACACCTGTAATCCTAGCACTCTGGGAGGTCCAGGCAGGCGGATTGCTTGAGGTCAGGAGTTTGAAACCACCCTGAGCAAGAGCAAGATCCGTCTCTACTATAAACAGAAAGAAATTAATTGGCCAACTAATATATATAGCTGGGCATGGTGGTGCATGCCTGTAGTCCCAGCTACTCGGGAGGCTGAGGCAGTAGGATCGCTTGAGCCCAGGAGTTTGAGGTTGCTGTGAGCTAGGCTGACGCCACAGCACTCACTCTAGCCTGGGCAACAAAGCAAGACTCTGTCTCAAAAAAAAAAAGAGTTCCCAAGAAACAAGTGTTCTTTCCTTATGTCCCTTATTCCAACTTGTATATTCCATATGTATACATTTCACATATACTGGAATCACAGCCCATTGTCTCCCACTACCTGTTACCATTTTGGTTCATTAGCCCTTTCTTCCCAAGTAATTTATACCTTAGGGTTAAAGGCCAGAGTCTTGGGATCAGTGGGGTCCACCACAGAGGGATAAGGCTCAAAAATGATGCTCTTTCTAGGGGACTCCAATGCTGCCCTGCACATGGCCACCAGTAGATCCACCACCTTAGGGGAAAGGAGAAAAAGGGGGAGAAGCTAAATGATTTCCCAGAACTGGGAGTCACACAAGACCCAGCATTTCTCCCTGTTCTTTAAAAAAGCAAATGTGTTTATGGATTTTTAATTGGAAAATACAAACTCATAAATATTCAAGTAATACCAAAGTGATTGAAGAAAAGATAAAAATCATACCCTTGCCCCTAAACAAATTTCATTCACAACAGGTAACTACTGATAAGTTTGATGTATACCTTTCCAGATATTTTTTACTTCACATACTGTTGTATTTGTTTTTTACATATAATTGTATGTTACAATTTTCTATCCACACAATAGCTATGTAGTCGTTCCATGCAAGGACATATTGTAATTTCTTTAACAAGACCCTCTACAGATGGGGTTGCACCCATTTTTATTTTGTAAACAGTACCATAGTAAATATCCTTATATATGAAAGAAATTTTGGAGGTTAAGTTGCAAGGAGTGAAATTGCTGGGTTCCTCCGCCTCTCTTAATGCCAACTCCCCAGCTGCTTTTCCCCGTCCCGTACCTCTGCTCCAGTAGCCACCTCTTCTGCAGCTCCAGACATGACGCCCAGTGTGTAGAAGGAGAAGACACACAGTTCACGAGTACAGACAGCTGGCTGAATAAACATATTAAACAGATGGTGGTGGTATGGGGTGTGCAATAAGAAGGTATAGGGATAGAGGGACAGCCCTGATCTTTAGATGACTCTAGAACAAGGTAGGAATTTAGGGCCCTCTATGTCCAGAGAAAACTATCAATATGGACTTAATCATAGGGCCGGGCATGGTGGCTCATGCCTTAATACTAGCACTCTGGGAGGCTGAGGCGGGAGGATCACTCAAGGTCAGGAGTTCCAAACCAGTTTGAGCAAGAGCGAGACCCCATCTCTACTAAAAATAGAAAGAAATTAATTGGACAACTAAAAATATATAGAAAAAAATTAGCTAGGCATGGTGCTGCATGCCTGTAGTCCCAGCTACTCGGGAGGCTGAGGCAGAAGGATTGCTTGAGCCCAGGAGTTTGAGGTGGTTGTGAGCTAGGCTGACGCCACAGCACTCTAGCCCAGGCAATAGAGTGAGACCTTGTCTCAAAAAAAAAAGGACTTAATTATAATGGCTTACTGAAAAGTTTGAAAGTTAATACTCTCGCCTCTATGAAGCCTTCCTTCCCTGATCTTCCTAGGTAGTCAGATGCCCTCTCTTCTGAGATTCCACAACACTGCTCATATCTCTTCTACACATTTAATATATATTGTGATTTATAGTTAAGTGACTGTCTGTCAACCTGGACTTGGAGTCCTTGAGGATGGCTTCATATCCAACCATCTTCACAAATATCTGATACCCATTTTTAAATGTTAGGTGAACTATATCCTCAAAAATATTCCCATATTCTCATCTCTCTAAGCAGGACTGCTAAGATTTGTTTACTGAGAAAAAGAATTATTTATACTGTCTCGGAGAATGTGGACAGAATTCTACTTTCACTGTAGGCCCAGGAAGAAAGAAATAAGGGAGAGATAAGGAGTGAAGGGGACTTAGCTAAAGAAGAGGGTCACAGAGCAGGGATCTATACCTTGAGCATGGAACCATTCTGGAAGACATGCTGCTCATCACACACCACACAGTATTCATTCAATGTTGGAATCCTCTGCTCTGCATACTTCATGATCTGAAGAGAGAACAGATTCTAAGTCTTTTGGAATATAGGCACAGATATGGGAAATAATTTGAGCTGCTTTTCCAGCTTTCCTTCCCCATCTCAGCCCTCTGGCTAAGGTAGGGTCTATTCTTGGGCCCTGCACTTAAACTAATGGCCTGACTGCAGAGCTAAGACTGTATAGTATAGTAAAAATAAGATAAGCCACGATGTTTGATTTAGAAGACCTGGGTTAACATCCCACCTCTATTACTTAATACCATATATAACTTTGGGCAAGTCAGTTAACCTAAGCCTTGGTTTCTTCATTTATAAATAAATTAGAACATTATTTAAATCATAGGAGGTACAGCAAGAAATGAGATGATTTCCATGAAAGTATTTTAAAAACAAACAGGTGCTAATCAAATTATTAACAGTAGTTGTAGTAATTACAGACTATCCCTTTGGGACAGGACAGTATTCAGTCCATGATTGGATGGCAGGGGGGCCTGAGAAGCCATTTTACCTACCTAGAATAATTAGCCAGTCCACTGGTCAAAACCACAGATACAACTCTGTGCTGGGAAAATGGCACAAATCCAGAGCTCATGCAGCAAATCCTAAAGTGTTTTTTTGGACCCTCTAACACAGCTTTTGTGTGAAGATCAGGTTATTCCCATTTCATATGCCTTTGAGCTGGTAATGGGACATGCTAGAGATTTTATTCATTTATTTAACATAGATTTGTGAAAGCTCTATGAAACATCTCCTTGATTATGCAATAATATAGAAGATTGCCTTCTCAGATGCTAAACTCCAATGAGGGAGCTATGGCACACATACAAATTAATTACAATTCAAGGCAACATATAGTATGTGACACGTAGATGCCATGTAAAATAAAAAGGATCATGAGAGCTCAGTGAGGGGAGAGATCATTTCTAGTTAATGCAGTTGGAGTCACGATGGCAATCATTATTTGCCTTGATGGCAATAGGCACATATGGGGAGGAAGGCCAGTGGAGGGAATGGCACGAGCAAAGGTTACAGAGATTCAAAAGTGAAAGCACGTCCAAGGAATGAAGACATTTTTAAAAGCAGCAAATGGCCAGGAGTGGCTGGGCAGTGAAAGGGGTCTGTCAGAAAAACTGAAGACCTCTTGAGAAAGTGATGTTGGGGAACATAAGAAATTTAGTGTCAATCTCTCTCTCGACACACTTAAAATTTGCAGTGCCAAATTCTGCACTTGATCATAAGTGTTCTGTGAGTGTTGTCTTCTCAGTAATGCTGTGAGCTTCTTGAGGATGGGAACTATGGCTTCTTTCCTCCATCCACTTGACATTCAGTATAGTTCTGGGTACAAGACAACTCAAGAAATATTCAACCAACTAAGGAGCTGGGAGATGTTAGCAGACCAAATGGGTCAGACAACAGGGAGGGGCTTTGGAATGAAGCTTTTGACTTGATTACCTGAACAAGGAATCCATATTCCAGAGTGGGGATGTTCTTGCAGTGACCACTGACCTGGTGAGAGTAAAAAGGCAAATCTATGAGCCTCCTACTGAAGCTGGGGCCAAGAGAGACCTCACTCATGCCCACCACCTAAGATTCTCCTAAAGTAGCTAAGGCCTAGCTCAGATCAGCCTAAGTAATCTCAAAGCTGGAGAGGAGACCTTTAGGCATTTTTATCAGTTTATGGAAAAGGGCTTGCCTGTACTTAGCCCTCTTCAAAGTAGGTAGAACAGATTAGTACAGCAGCTGACTACCAAGTCCTGACCACAACCCAATAAAATCATGACTTCTCCTTGGGAGGCCTATATCCAGACTCTCTGCTTCATGGCCTATTATGAGAAGCTTGCCAGATAATACATTAATAGATATAAGTTACTGGCTATTAAAAAATATATTCCATTCTACTCATTCATGGTACATACTCAGGCTTATGATGCCCTCACCTCATTCTGAGAAGCTATACTCCCACATTTCCACTCCCACCCACCTGACACCCAAGTCAAACCCTCCCCAGCCCATGTACCAAAGGAGAGGTCCGTGCTGGGGGAGGGAGGCCCTCGTGCTGGGGGCACAGGAGACCTGCCTGGGGACTGGGAGGGTAGCCAAACACCTCCACTTTGGGGTTCTTCATGGTGCAGGAGATGGAACGGTTCATGAGGCGCCCAACTCGAAGCTCTGGCACACCCAGTTTGCCTTTCAGCATGGAGTCCTGTATGATAGGGAAACTGGGAGACCTGGGGAGAGAAAGCAAAGACAAATGATGAAACTGGGATTCACTACGTGTCCTAGAAGGGAATTAGAGACACTGATTCATAAGCCAAAGATAAACTTATATCTGAGAAAAGTTCTACTGGATCTTAAACAATGTCAAAACTAGTAGATGACATATCTGAACTGATTTTTTATGTCATTATCTGTGTGTTTTTTCAGATTGGGACACAGAAGGTGAGCAAAGGCAGAGTGTACGTCACTATGGCATCTAGACCAGGTATGGAATGATCCCATAGAGAAGCTATCTGTTTCATTTACTGTGTGTGTGTGAAAGAGAGAGGGAGGGAGGGGGAGAGTGAGAGAGGGGAAGGGGGCAGGGGGAAATAGAGAGAGAAAAGAGAGAGACAGAGAAAGTATTAAACAACTGTGCCAGGCAAGTAGTAATTGCATCCCAAAGAGTCTACTGCCAACTCTCTAACTGTCAACAACAGTTACCTGGGAAGCTACAAATTTGGCTTTCTATCTGCCTTTGGGAAGATCAGCAGGCACCAGAGGGGGTAAAAATGCAGACCTGCAGTCAAAGAATGGAGCAATATTTATTTCTAGAATCTAGCTAATAAATCAAGGTACTCCTACATAAGAGGAAGGAACTGGTGCCTATTCTCTGACTCTTTCTCCTTAAGATGGGGAATAAAGATTGGGGCCAAAGAAAAGAAAGAAGGAAAGATCAGCATACATTTTCCAAATATAGCGATGAGGTAGGTATTGTGTTTTACATAAAGGATGAGGTATTAACATTAGGTCAGAGTAGAAAGATAAGAACACATAGGGGACAGGACCACGTGAGGGGTGTTAGTTGACAAAGATACAGAATTTAGAGGACCAAGGGAGGAGACAGAAAAGATAAGTTTAGGTAATCAGGAAGGTATGGGTGGGGGCTATCACAAGGTGATCAGGGGACCACTTACTTGGGGATGGGTGAGAAGATGCTGAGGCCAGCTCGGAACTTCTTGATAGTACCACTTGCCTTGAACCAACTGTGCCTCTTCTCCTGCTGGGTCTTTAAGAAATCGTTGCTCAGATGTTTCCATTGTTGGGATGTGAACATACCCAGGATCCTGCAGGAACAAATAGAATAGGCTTAAGCAAGATTAGGCAGGGGAGTAGGTGAAGAAATAAAGATTAAGAGAGACATTAATTTAAAATTCAGACCCAGGGACTGCAAAACTAGTTGTGGAGGGGGACTGTGTGTCTAAAGACTCTCTTAAGATGACCTTAGCACATGGAAATGTACCGTCCTGAAGCACCCCTTTACCCTAGGAGGTACCTAGCCTAATGGACCAGAAGACTTCTGAGATGCTTTGCCTTTAGAGGGAGATCTCAAAGGTGAGCCTTCAAAGGCTGTGAATCTTGAGATCGACTGCCAAGAATGACCATACTGCTGATAGTGGAATACAAGTGGTGGGATGGGGGTGAACACCTCTCTGTTTTGTAAGCAGTGAAGAAAAGGACAAGTGACATGAGGGGTACTGACATTGTTAAGTGGAGAATTACATCTCCCCAATTTATGGTTTCCAACTCGAGCTAGGTCCTCAGCTGGACTTGTCAATCTTTTTACTTGTCCTTGATTAGTTCTCTCTAGCATTACTTTAACTATTGCTCTGAATCCTTATCACTTTCTTTAAGCTACCAACTTTACCTACACCAATAATCTCTCTTCCTTAATAGAGAAAGCCATCATACCAAGATCTGTGCTCACAAAAAAAATAAAAAGAAAAAATAAAGAGAAAGCCATCAGATAACAGCTCCATTAATTTTCCAGCCCTACTACAAAATCTATTTCTATTTCCACCCTTACCTTGGCCCCTCTGTTCTCTGCAGACAAGATGACCCTCCTTTTTAAGATCAATCCTTGTATTTGTGCTCTAGACCTCAGCCCCATTTTGTCTCTTTAGGGACCTAAATGTGTCAACCATTTCCTGTCAGTTCCTTTCCCAAAGTCTACCAAAAATGTCTACTTTCTGGCTAGGCGCCGTGGCTCACACCTGTAATCCTAGCACTCTGCGAGGTCCAAGCAGGAGGATCACTTGAGCTCAGGAGTTCGAGACCAGCCTGAGCAAAAGCAAGACCCTGTCTCTACTAAAAAGAGAAAATATTAGCCAGGCATAGTGGTGTGTGCCTGTAGTCCCAACTACTCAGGAGGCTGAGGCAGGAGGATTGCTTGAAGCCAAGAGTTTGAAGTTACTATGAGCTAGGCTGACGCCACTGCACTCTAGCCCAGGGAACAAAGTGAGACTCTGTCTCAAAAAAAAATTTTTCACTTTGTGGAGCTCAGTCTAGGTAGTCTCCTATACTCTCCTATTCTCATCCAAATTTCTCAATCCATACTCATTATTTCTACTTTGTTGCCAACCACTCAATTCTCAACTTTATGTATTCTGGTTTCTACCTTCACCGCTCCACTAAAATTGTTCTCACCTTGATGCTAAATCCAACTGATACTCCTAAGTTTTCCCACTACTTATCTTCTCTGGCATCTGGTCTTCCTTGTAGAACCTTTCCTTGCTTGTCTTCTGTGCCACGATTCTCTTCTTATTCTTCGCTGACCTACCTGCAGAGCTGCTTCTTCCTCACCTACTCTGTTGGTTTCTTGGGTATTTTGTCTGGGTGTTTAAGGTTATTTTGCCCTTGATCCTGTTTTCTTTTCACTCTATCAGGCTCTCCTTTGGCAATCTCATATTCACTGGTTGTAATTTCCATCCACAAACTGATGCATATCTCCAACCCTAACCTCTCCTGTAAGTAGCAAATTCACATATATTGAACATCTTCACTTGCATACTCCAAAGGTCCCTTTAAACAGCATGCCTAAAATGGAACTAATTATTTATCCTCATCCTACAAACCTGCTCCTCTTCTTATATCCCTAAATTGTTGGCATCACAATTTACCCAGACATCTAGGTTGGAAACCCAGGAGTAATTTTCCACTATTTGTTGCCCCTTATCATCATAATCAACACATTCAAATCAGCCTTCAAGTCTTACTGATTTTATACCCTGCAAATTTCTCTTATTTGTCTCTCATCTCCATTCTCACCTACAGTCACACTTTAGTTCAGTACTGCAGCATCTCATGTCTAGAATTCTACAAAAGCCTCCTTTTAAACTAGTTCTGACCTCTTGTCTCATTCACCTCTACCCATATTATACAATTCTACCAGATTAGTTTTTCTAAAACTAAATCTGACCTTGCCCTTTCTTTGCCTAAAACCCTTCAATGTTTCCACTGCCTACAAGATAAAAGCCCAAGATCTTCACTAATTTGAATACCTATTCTCTGGCTTTGGTTCCTAGCACTCGCTCCTTGCATTTCCGCAGCAATATTTAATGACTTGAAGCTTCCTACACGCATGCTGCTTCATGTGACTATGCCGCTGCAAATGTTATTCTCTCTCAGAAATTGTCTACATAGACAACTCTCATTCAACCTAGAAAATCATTAATCATCCTTCATTCCTTCATTCACGGCCCTCCACTTGTCACTATACTTAGTTACTCCTTCCTCTCTATTCTTTCTGAACTTTACATATTCACTTGTATTAGAACACATATCCAGGCTAGGCACAGTGGCTCATGCCTATAATCCTACCACTCTGGGAGGCTGAGGCAGGAAGACTGCTTCAGCTCAGGAAGACTGCTTCAGCTTGAGCAAGAGCAAGACCCCATCTCTACTATAAATAGAAAAAAATGAGCTGGACAACTTAAAATAAAAAAAAATTAGTCAGGCATGGTAGCGCATGCCTGTAGTCCCAGTTACCCAGGAGGCTGAGGCAGGAAGATTGCTTGAGCCCAGGAGCTTGAGGTTGCTGCGAGCTAGGCTGTTGCCATGGCACTCTAGCCCAGGCAAGAGAGTGAGACTCTGTCTCAAAAAAAAAAAAGAATACATATCCACTGGCCAGGCACGATGGCTCACACCTATAATCCTAGTACTCTGGGAGGCTAAGGCAGGAGGATCACTCAAGGTCAGAAGTTCGAAAACAGACTAAGAGTGAGACCTCATCTCTACTAAGAATAGAAAGAAATTAATTGGCCAACTAAAAATATATAGAAAAAATTAGCTGGGCATGGTGAAACATGCCTGTAGTCCCAGCTACTTGGGAGGCTGAGGCAGCAAGATTGCTTAAGCCCAGGAGTTTGAGGTTGCTGTGAGCTAGGTTGACGCCACGGCACTCTAGCCAGGGCAACAGAGTGAGACTATGACTGTATAGTATTTGGTCTTTAAAAGAGAAGGTATTGGCCACACGTGGTGGCTCATGCCTGTAATCCTAGCACTCTGGGAGGCAGAGGTGGGAGGATTGCTCAAGATCAAGAGTTTGAGACCAACCTGAGCAAGACTGAGACCCTATCTCTATTAAAAATAGAAAGAAATTAGCGGAACAACTAAAAATATATAGAAAAAATTAGCCGGGCATGGTGGCACATGCCTATAGTCCCAGGTACTCGGGAGGCTGAGGCGGAAGGATCACTTGAGCCCAGGAGTTTGAGGTTGCTGTGAGCTAGGCTGATGCCATGGCACTCTAGCCAGGGCAACAGAGTGAGACTCTGTCTCAAAAAAGAAAAATTAATAGAATACATATCCACAGGACTCTATTTGGAACCTCACTGAGGGAAGAAAATGTGTGTCATTTCTCTTTGCATACCAAACACTTAGCATAGTGCTCAACACATTCAATAAACTAAAATTATCTGAGCTCCTAGAGCCCCGCTCTCTGAGGAAATATGAATGGCATGACTCTGATTCCAGAGTTGTACTTTTCCTTAAATGCTAGGTAGAGATGAGTCTCTCCGTTCGCCTCTAAGAAGTCTTAATTTCTGATACCTAAGAACAGTAGACTCCCACTCCACAACAATAAATTTGGCTCCCCAAATTTATTTTAGCTTTTCCTGGGCACACTTTAGGAAGACTTTTTCCGGAAGGAAACGTTCCATCCAAGGCTCTGCCTGCCCATCCACACAGATCTCTCTCTCTCTGTCTCTCTTTCCCTCACATGTCCCTGATCAGAAAAGATCAAAGTTCTTACTTTTTCAACTGAAGACCCAGCCCAAACCCTTCCTTATTCGATGGCTGGAAAACCTCAATTGATGGTTCTGTGAAGAGAAGAGAAGGGACCTCGTAAGTACACATCTCTAACCTCCTGGCAGTCCAAAGGCACAGTTCAGTGGAATAGCTTCTTTAGATTTTGAAAACAGAAGCTGCTGGGTACTCCAAATAATGATGGAGGATGAAAACATCTGAGGTAGACAGTAGGTTCTGGAAGCTGTCTAATCATTTAAAATATTCTCAGTAGGAAGCTGGGTGGGGCGGGGGGGAGGATAAATTATATTTTGGAACCAGAGAAAACAATGTCATTAGCCATGAAGGCCTTTAGGGAATGGCTATCAGAATATCAGATAACAGAGGATGAAGACACCAATGAAAGGAAATTTAAAAAGCCCTGACCGATGGCCTACAGATTGAGTCAAGCGCCTTGTTCCTATTTTTTCTCTACCTCAGTTAACTTAGGACTTTGGATTATACCATATTCAGATCAGCCACTTGCCCAAAGTCACTGCCTTTACCTGGTCCATCAAGGTACTGGGAGAGAGAAAATCGCAGCCTCAACACAATGGGTTCTGTCCGGAGGACCTTCCAGGCTGTAGAGACTTCCTCCTAAAAGAACAAGGGAAATAATTTCCCGTTTAGCAATATAGAGGAATGAAGTTTCCCCATATGACACATGCATGCACATGACAGTACACACCACTGTCTGCTGATGGTCTAGGAAAGACAGAGATGAAGAATATGTGCTCCAAATACAGCACTCAGGAACAAGACTCTTGGCCTACATGACAAATTCCACAAGTCCAGCTAGACATGTTGTTGGCAGGTACTAGCCCACTTACATCGAGGAAGCTGATGTTGATGTGGAGGTCAATGTCCACGTCATCGATAGTTCCATATTCTCTATAGAGATACAGGCGACCACAGGTGAGTGAGACTCATTAAGGGAGAAAGAAGGGAACAGAGACTGAGGTGGAAGGAGAACTGAGCTCTGGGCCAGGGGAGAAGGAAGGTCGATGGTAGTTTTGTATGTAGGGTCTTAGCTACAGCCTCAAGCCACATACATGATCAGAGCCTTCTCCATGCCAGAAGCCTTTCTTACCACAAAGGTGAAACTACTGGCTTAGAGGGGTCTAGGATAACAGGAAATTTCTAAGAAAAGTACCCTTACTCTCTCCTGCCAGCCAAGCTTATATATTCTGAGCGATTTCTATCATTAAGCTCATAATTTATCCCCCTATCACACCATAAAAAGAAAAATCTCTAGCCTTTCAACAACTCAGAAAAAAGTGGCTTGCTCCCTTGCCATCCCTGAAGCAGAGTCCCACCTGATGGATACAGAGTTCTCACTGTAGATCTCCTTCACGGCTTCAATGTCTGCATCAAGCTGTGGGTGTCGATACAGGTCAGCTGCACAGCTCCCCTGAGAGAGTGGCAAAAATGGTGGTGGTGGAGAGGTGTGGAAAAATACAGATGGGGAAAGAGAGAAGAAAATGAAAATAACATGAAGAGGCACCAGGAACAGGAGAAATCAGACAGCAGCAGCAATACAGGGGAAGTGAAAGCCTCTTGTATGAAGGGGTTTTTAGTGACCCCAGCTAGGGATTTCATTAACAGACAAATATCCCTCCATCACAACTCTAAAAAAGTTTCAGGAGACCAAAGGTAGGCTTTGCTTGAGGAGTTCACATCCTTAAATCTCCAGCTTTTCCTCTCAGACCTTGACCAGGATACTTATATATACATTCTACAACAACTCAGAACAGGCTGAAGAGTACAGATTTTAGCTCAGCTAGGTTCTATCCGAAAAGCATTCCGAGAGTCTAAGCATTTCTGCTCAGGATTGTGCCCTGGATAATAATGGCATTAAGCAATAACTGGCAGAGTAATCTTTTAAGATGCAACCCCACTGGCTATTGAAGGAAGAATCAGAAAACAATTACTTCTAATTAATAACATATGGGTAGCCTCCACATACCGAGGATGTAGGTTACTCTGGGACAGGTAAGAATCCCAGGCAAGAGCAAGACACAGGATCTACTCCAACATTATATCCTCATCTCATCTGTGCTCCAGAACCTCTTTCACTCCTGATGTATCCAGAGGAGGCACACAGATAACCCGTGTAGATTATTCAACATGGGTCTTGGGGGATATAACCTCACCTGAACTCCATAGAGAAATTCCTCTGATTCATTATCTCCCTCCGAATCATCATCATTCCAGAACTGGCCTTTGATGTCCTAGTGATGAGAAATAAGAATACCATCCTTTGTTAGGTCCCTGTTATCTCATGGAATGGGGTGGAGTGATATGGGAAACAGATTCCCACAAAGAATGGGAAAAGGTCCCTTGCAATAGAATAAATGAGGACCTAATCTCTTTACACCTTTCATCTCACCCTTTGAGAGTCGAGTCTCAGGCTCTTCCTGAATCTGATCTCATCTGTGGCCTAGCTCTGACTTGGTGGGACAGAAGAAAACAGCAGGGAATTTTGGCTTTCTTAAGCCTCAGCATGACGGCTGAAGCTCTGGTAGCCAGTCGGGGAGGGATGCAGAAGATTTCAATATCAAGGTTGGTTCCTAAGAATATCTTGGTTCTAGTATAAGCTGGCCTCTTCTAGGATCATTACCCAAGGCAGCTTGCAGCTCCCAAGTATATCTAAGCTCTCTTGTCTCATCACTCCCTTTCTAACCTTTAAAATATTTAACCTCCCCTCCTTTCCCAACAAAACCCACCTAAACACCTACACACACACACCAAGTAATACTGTTTCTGTGCCACTCTACCTTCCAAAAGGGTAGGAGGGAAAATACTAGGAAAGAATGAGATATGTATTTTGTCTCATCTATCCCCTGGACCATCAGTTGGGAGGTGGGCAGTCAGTTCTCACCATTGGATCAGTGGGTCATACACACTCTCAGGTCAGTGCTAGGCAGCACCCCTCCATACCACCAGCTGAACCCAGGCCAATGCGATGGGCATTTAGGAGGCCACAAAGGGATACCGGAGGCCGATGTCAGGAGTAACTGGAGAACTGCTGGGGATGGCAGGCTCTGCTGTTGTAGTGGTAACAAGTCAATGTCCTGTGAAAAGTAGGTTAACAACTGGTTTCATCACCACTTAATAGCTAGGTGGTGTATACACAGGCACACATATTTATGGATACTTTTATTACACATACATACAGATAACTGCACATAAAGATACAATTGCATGCCTATACACACATTTATACATGTAGTTCTTTAAGATAATGAACGTGAAAGCACTATACAAACATAAGACACTACTATTCCATTTAAACTGGAGAGCTGAAATTGGAGCAAGTCCCTGCTCTAGTTCATAATGTTATAAATCCTGAAGCCAGAAGTGAGGGTGGCAGGACCAGATCATTATGCTTCTGTCTAGTTGGTTCATTTTGGAAAATTCTTCACAGTACCAACCCCCAGCAGAATTAAGAACCAGAATCTGATTCTTTCTGGATTCTCTTTTTTTTTGAGACAGAGTCTCACTCTGTTGCCTGGGATGGAGTGCTGTGGCATCAGCATAGCTCACAGCAACCTCCAACTCCTGGGCTCAAGCAATCCTCCTGTCTCAGCCTCCCAAGTAGCTGGGACTCCAGGCATGCACCACCACATCTGGCTAATTTTTTCTATATATATTTTTAGTTGGCCAATTAGTTTCTTTCTATTTATAGTAGAGGCAGAGTCTTGCTCTTGCTCAGGCTGGTTTCAAACTCCTGACCTTGAGCAATCCTCCCACCTCAGCCTCCCAGAGTGCTGGGATTACAGGCATGAGCCACCACACCCAGTCTTTCTGGATTCTTTATTCCTAGTTATTTCTCCATATTGAGCCATTACCTCTTTTTAAACATCAGTATTATTAGAAGCCATTAGATGGCAATCACAGCTAACTTAAAAAGTCCTCAATAACACTAAACACCCTCTAGTAGTCCTGATCTGAGTGTCATGGCCAAAATAATGCCCAGGAGTCATCCTGGAACCTATCCCCAAATTAAAATGCAATCATGATCCCAACAAATGCTTGGAAAAACACTTAACCTCTAGACCTTTCACATACAATTCCCCTGATTGCTTCTAATTCAGAGGACCCCTAACCCTATACCAGCAACTTTTAGCCCCATTGAAGCTTCCATATACAGTAGGAAAAACAAACTCATCTGTCAAATTATGAAGACTTTAATGGCAGACAATGCCAAAACTATCTTAGAGCAGGCTAAAAAAGCTTTCAGATGCTCTCTAGATCAGTAGGTCACTGGCTCTGCACGTACATACTTCAGTCTAAAACACTCCAACCTCAAACAGAAGTGTCCTTGGTCTCTAACATAGTTCTGCTGGAACTTAGGTTTCTAGATCAGTGGTTCTGAGTGAGGTCAATGGACTTACAGCATCAGTACCAACTAGGACCTTGTTAGAAATGTAAATTCTCAGGCCCCTAAGACCTACTGAATTAGAAACTCCAGGGATGAGGCCCAGTTACTTTGATGCATGAGAAAATTTAAAAACCACTGTTCCAGATCCTTGTGTGTTCTAAGGGCCTTCAGTCTGTTCCTCAGATACCAATTTAAGTCTGGTAACTGATCCAGGATGGGCAATATAATGCCAGGGCAAAAATCAGTATAGCAATCTTCCATCTTATAGTGCTGCCTGACCCACCAGAAACAATATACAAAAGGAAATCACAACTAACATTCTTAAGAGATGAAATGCTCGGGTATCTATATGAGATTTGCTTTAAAATACTACCTCAAAACAATAAGGGAGAGGGGGAGAATAGATGAAATAAATAAGGCAAAATGTTGATTATTGATGAAGCTGAGTGATGTGTACATGACAGTTTCTTTCTTTTTTATTTTTTGAGACAAGAGTCTCACTCCGTTGCCTGGGTTAGAGTGCCATGGCATCAGCCTAGCTCATAGCAACCTCAAACTCCTGGGCTCAAGCAATCCTTCTGCCTCAGCCTCCTGAGTAGCTGAGACTATAGGCATGCACCACCATGCTCAGCTAATTTTCTTCTATATACTTTTAGTTGTCCAGCTAATTTCTTTCTATTTTTAGAAGAGATGGGGTCTCGCTCTTGCTCAGGCTGGTCTTGAACTCTTGACCTCAAGCGATCCTCCTGTCTTGGCCTCCCAGAGTGCTAGGATTACAGGCATGAGCCACTGCACCCAGGCCGAGAGTTTCTTATACTACTCATTTTTGTGTACAGCTGGAAAATTTTATTAAAAAAAAATTAGAAGCTACTGTAACAGGGGCTCTATTTAGAAAGCCAACTCTAAATGTTAACAAGAAAATTACCTGAGACTCCACAATTGCCTTGTTGGTGTTCTTCAATCATATCAAGCATATTCCCACCACAAAACTCTGTCCCCGCTGTTTCCCCTTCTTATCACCCAGATATCCACATGGTTTGCTCCTTTACTCTTTCAGATCTCTGCTCAAAGGTCACCTTGACTATCAAACAAAACAGCAACACCCAACACACACACACACACTGGCACTCTCTATCCCTCGCCTCACTTATTTTTTTTCCATAGTACTTATCACATTCTAACATAAATATTTTGTCTCCCATCAGAATGTAAGCTTTATGGTAGCAGAGGCTTTGACTGTTTTCACTGTCTATATTCTTAGTCTCTTAACACGTTTCTTGAATGAGTGAATGAATGAATGAACCCTCTGCTGGATACCTACCCAAATGGGAGATAAATACAAGAACTTACAAGCTTCCACAGACAAAATCACACAAAAATGATTTTAGAAAAGCAAAACTTCATTCACCTTCAAGAGCAGCTGAGAACCAGAATATGAAGATCTGGGGGCTGGGTTTGTGAGACTTTAAAATAAACAGTCAAGTGCTGATCTGGATAATCACAGAGTAGTAAAGAGGGAGGCACTAATGTCTAGCCTGGGTTATCTTGGGATGAGCAGTAGGATGATGGCGGTGTAGGCCAGAAGTACCAACTTGTTCAAGGTCTTTGTTGCTGCAGAAGTCAAGAAAAATTTAGCCTCTCTCCTAGGGCTGTTGCTGTTTGGTGTTTGCTGCTATCACAAGGAGAAAAAGGTAGTTCAGAGGGAGTTTTTCTTGTCCGTAGGAGAGACAGTTCAGAAATTACCAGCTTTTTCAAATCAGGCCGCTTTAGTGAAAGGGACTTGCTCCCTCTACTCTCAATGCCCTTTCCTCTGGAGAGATGGAGAGTGGGCTTAAAAGGTAAAAAGTGAGAAAAGGCAGGTGGAAGGTCATGGAATCCACAGAACAACACAGATATTTTAAAGAATAAACCTGAAAAGTGGCCTAGTTCTAAACTTTCATGTTATTTCAGAATTCTCAGGGTCATTCTATAACATGAAGGGAGGTCAAGCAACTTCCTTATGGCTAGTATAGTGGACATGGGATTTAAGCACACTTGACAGATCCTAATCACACCTAATCTTCATGTGATATGGTTATAACTAATTAAGGGAGTTTAGGAATTAAACAAGAAAGACCCACCTGATTTATCTAAACTGAGATAAATAAAGAAGGGAACATTTCCAAAGTAGCTGGGCCAAATACAGACTATATGAAAAATGCCCAGAGAAGAGTGTTGTTAACCTCAGTGCTCAGTTTAGATGATGGTAGCTACTACCACAGAAAGCTTTACGAATTTCCATGGGAATAGGCCAAATGTAAATAAGCCTCAAGTCTGGTTCACTAAGGTCTTTCCCCAGGTCCACGGTCCTCAGTGTGTGACAACTTTAGTACAAAGAAGCCTCCAATCTCAACCTTTAAATTCTGGGTTTGGCTCCCGGCATTGTGGTCCTGGAAGAGGAGGTTACCCCGCTCCGTACCATGTGCCCCTTGTCAGAAGGACCAGGCCACTAAACAAAGAGTGTAGCGAAGAACCACGGAGGGGCGATTCCCGCACGCTGGCGCTCTCTCGGGTACCCCGGGGGAGAGGGGACGGGGCTGGCCCCGAAAATACTCTCTGCCAACGCGCTTCCAGGACAGGCCCTGCGGCCTCTCTTGGGGGAGCAGTTCCAGCTCTTCCCCAGGGTTCCTCCGGCGACCCCAGACACCCAGCACCTGCCTCCCTCGGGAAGAAGCTCTGTGCCGGATCTGTGCCGCCAGCCGCCGAGCCTCAGAGAAGCCTGCCAAGCCCGGGAAGGCCCTTCAGAGCCACCTGCTCGAACCCCTCACTTCGCCCACCCCGGCCGAGGCGGGGCGGGCCCCGCACCCTTCCCGCGGCCCGGCCGCCCCGCCCCGTCCCCGTGGTGGCCGCCCCACAGGCCAGCCTCGCGAGTACTCACGGCGACCCCGGGCCGCGCGCGGCGCCGCCGAGGGACGAGCGGCCCGGGACGCCCCGCGGGGGCGGAGCGGCGAGCCAAGGGGCGGGGGCCGGGCCGGGCGGGCGAGGTCGCGCACCCACGCCTAGTCGTTCCGTCACGGGCGCGCTGAGCCACTCTGCGCACGCTCGCGCGGCGACACCCTGGTCACGCGGCCCGCTCCCGGCCAACAGCCCCGCGGCCTGCGCCTGGGCGCGCCGCCGCCGCCGCCGCCGGCCTTGGGGCGCCTGCGCGGTGGCCGCTCGTCGGGAGGCGGCGCGGAGCGGGGGCGGCGCCTGCGCCGTGGGGCGGGGAGGGTGCGTGGACCAAGAGGGGGGACTGCGGGGCGCGCGGAGGGCTTCGGAAGGAGAATGTCTCCTCTGGCGCCCCGTGTGGTTGGAGGGAAGAGCAGGGAGGGCCGTGCAGGGTGCTTGTGGGCCCGGAGGGGTGCCCTCGCTGGAGGCCGAGGCCGGCAGCTAGAGATGGAGAGGGGACTCCTGAGGCCCTGCCGACTCCGGGAATTTCTGGTTCGAAACTGGGAGTCAAAAACCTCAGGGTTCTTAGGCTTAACTCATTTGCTCCCCTGGTAGCTGCCATGTGCTGGAAAGCACACCGGCCTTCCAGTCAAACAGTGTGGGTTCAGAGCTTGGTTTCATCACTCGGTGATTGTGCAGCTTTAAACAAAGACGTTCACCTTCTGAGTCCTAGTCTTCTCGTCTTTGAAGTGGAGAGGATAATAGCTGTTTCATGGAGCTGCTGTGGTGGAGGATGAGCGAGATAGTGTTAGGTTGAACTTATGAAATTGCCATTTTTGTAGGATGTAAACAAATACCTGCTATTTCATACGATTCCAACTAATCCATGCGAAGTAACCAACAGAGTACATGAGAATAGGAAGTCGTCCAGAAATGGAAGCTGTAATTGTGGTTATCAACCCTAGACAGGGCCAACCTCCTTCATTCTTACCAGTCTTGGGGCTTCCACGTGCCCTTTTCCATCAGCACTAATGGGAAAAGGCTTATCTTGGACCAACTCTCCTCCTTCACTCTCTCTTTGTAACTGGCCATAGCACACAAGGAAAGCTCTGGCCGTGAGTGATAGAAAGATGTGTCATGTCTAGCCCTCCTGAGCCTGCCTCAATCAGAATTTTCCCAGTGAAGCTTTTTTTTTATATATTTACATTTGCACATCCTCAGCCTCTCCCTTCCGACTCCTTTTCCTTTTGATGTCCCCCTCTGCTTACCTTGCCACTCAAACCGGGGCCACAGTGCTGTCTCAATGTTAGTTTGTTAGACCCATTGTTTATGATAACTGAAAAAGAAATGAGGGATATAGCCTCAATTTCAGAGTGCAGGAGTTCAGAATAGTTGAGGAAGGCATTGGCCCTGATCCGTAAAACAACTCACCATCAAGGGCCCCGTAACAGCTTTTGAGAGCCATGTATGTATGAGAGTGTGTTAAAATATAAGCACTTTGGATAAGCACAGGGGAATTGTCCCCATGAGTGAAATGTTAAACTCTGGTCCTCAATAACCTTCCGGATCCCTCCTCCCCACTCCTCCCATCTCACACCACCAGCTCTTCTATTTATCATTAATCTCAACTAGTTTATCAGGATCTTCCTGGCTTTACTTCTTTTCCTATCCAATAGAGATCCTTCGGTCTGTTACTCTGATCACATTTTTGTTAATATGCTTGTCCTTATCCTTTAAAAATCACGCTCCTCGATCATTTCAGCTATCTACCTTCTCTACTCTCCCATACTAAACCAGGATAAAGGAAATCACCCAGTCCTGCACACTTCAGCTTGTGTGTGGACACTGATTTAGGTCAGCCCAGCCCAGCCCATGAGCCCTGTTCTGTGGGAATTATATTTTCCACACCCACATTCCAAATCCACAGGCCCCAGGGCCATGTTTGTCTTGCATGACCCCTGGCACCCTGGCTGCAGTTTATTAAACTGTGAGTGGATTCCTGATCCAAGTTGTGATAAGCAGATGTTCTCGCCTGAGAATCTGGGCTGAGAGATTGTGATTCTAATTGGACTGGTTTCTTGAGCAGAAGAGACTATAGACTCAGGAGCTATGGTACATCCACCTGCCACCTACTATGATGAATGAACAAAGGAAAAAGACCATCTAGGGACAACAAATGAAGCATGGAGAGGCAGAAACCAGAAATAGTGAGACGACTCTCCAGTTCCTGGCAGCTTCCCAGCACAGAGGCCCTCTGACCTGGGGATCTAGGAGTCGCCCTTTTTTTTTGAGACAGAGTCTCACGCTGTTGCCTGAGCTAGAGTGCCGTGGCATCGGCCTAGCTCGCAGCAACCTCAAACTCAACAATCCTCCTGCCTCAGCCTCCCAAGTAGCTAGGACTACAGGCATGAGCCACCATGCCTGGCTAATTTTTTCTATATATTTTTAGTTGTGCAGCTAATTTCTTTCTATTTTTTTTAGTAGAGACAGGGTCTCGCTCTTGCTCAGGCTGATCTCAAACTCCCAAGCTCAAATAATCCGCCGACCTCGGCATCCCAGAGTATTAGGATTACAGGCATGAGCGGCCGCGCCTGGCCTATGAGTCATTCTTTATCTAGAATAAATCACGTAAGCTAACTGAACTTGTACCCAATATAGAGCTCCTGCAAAGTCACAGTCTCCTCAGCTTGCCTCTCAGTGTACCCAGCAATCCTTCCACACGTCAGCCTCTCCCACCATCCCCCATTCTGCCTCACAGAGAAAATAAAGACCACGGAGGCAACTGCCTCAATTTTCTGTCCTCTCCAAACACTAGGATCTCTGCTGTCCTTTCTATTTCAGAAAGAGAGAGAACTGCCTTTAACTTCAAGGTTAATCCTTTCACTATGATCTGCATCTCATTGTTTCTGCCTCTTTAAGAACTTTGCTCTTTCACTTACCGCTCTCCTTCATTCAACTGTTTCTTCTCCCTCACTCTTTGATCTCAGCTTAGAAACTTGATCAACTCACTCAACCTTTTAAAAATATCCTATTTTAATCCCACATGTTACTGATTTTTCTTGCCTTTGAGCAAACTTCTAGTAGTCCGTACTCTCCGTCTCCACCTCCTTAGCTTTGATTTATTCCTTAAATCTCATGCCATCTCCCCTCTCCCCAAAATTTCTACTGAAAATATTTTCATCAAAGTTACAAATGACTTGCAAACTACCAAATCCCTTGAAAATTTTCAGGCTTAACTTATTTGACCCCTTGACCTCACTTGGCATTGTTGATCAACCTGTCTCCTTAAGCTTTTCCTCCGTTGGCTCCTATGGACTAGACTATACCCTTCCGGTTGCTTCCTACACCTCCTATGGCTCCTTCACACAATCTTTAATAGGCTCCTTTTCCTTCATTCCATATTTAAGTATAAAAACAGTTCAGTCCACACCCATTTCTCCTCTTATCACTCTTTCCAGTGGCCTCCATAGCACCCACTTGCAGCAGACCTTGTTCACTTTAGTTTGCCCAGAAACTGAATCGCCTTTTTATGTTACAAGTCTTGGAGGTAAGTAGAGCCCACCTTCCATGACAGACACTGAAAATGTTGGATCTTTCCTTTCCCAGCATTCCAGAAGGTAAGACAGGCATGTGACCAGGCCAACCAGCCCGCCAGAAATGTGGACTCTGGAGTAATGATTCAGAGGAATGGAATCATGGAGGATTCATCCAGTGGCAGTGGCTGCTGTAGGGTAGGGTCAGCTTTATCCCATGCCCAAGGGCTATCGTGGTGTGGGTACTGGTGGTGCTGACATCCAGTGTCCAGTCATGATGATGGAAGCAGTGTTCTTGCTGGGCTGGCTCTGGATTTTGGCCTCCATTCTGGTGGACTGGCCTACCATTGTTCCTGCTTATTTTCCAAGCTTGGGTCTCCTGCCTGGCAATCCCATCACCTGCCTAATGCCCTTTCAACAACTGGTTCTGTTTAAATCAGCCTGAGAGACACACAGTTGTAGCTGGAACTCCCAAATCTGTATCTCCATCCTATACTTTTTTTTTTTTGACCCACCAAATTCCTGCTGAGATCCTATACTTTTTGAGTTTCAAGTTGCCCTTTGGACAACTCCACTTGGAGCTCTCACAGGCAAACTCATCTTCTCACTCTGGATTTCTTTCATGTTCCCAGTGTAGTAAATAGTACCTATGATACAGCCCGAACACTGAGAAGGAAGCATCCTAGACTTCTCCCATCCTCATTTAAGTGGAACCAATTTTACCTCATAAACATCTTAAATGTTACCCCTTAATACATCTTAAATCAACCCCTCCTGTGTACTCCTGCTCCTCCTCACCAGAGCTGTTGCGTTAGCTTCCTAACTAGACCCCTCATCCTGGAATTACCCCTCCAAACTAGTCTCCACTTACCTGCTTAGGGGTCTTTTTAAAACCCAAATTTGATCATGTCACTCCTCTGTTAAGACCCCTCAATTGGCCAGGCACAGTGGCTCATGTCTGTAATCCTAGCACTCTGGGAGGCAGAGGTGGGAGGATCGCTCGAGGTCAGGAGTTCGAGACTAGCCTGAGCAAGAATGAGACCCCCGTCTCTACTAAAAGTAGACAGAAATTAATTGGTCAACTAAAAATATATAAAAAAAATTAGGGGGCATGGTGGTGCATGCCTGTAGTTCCAGCTACTCGGGAGGCTGAGGCAGTAGGATTGCTTGAGCCCAGGACTTTGAGGTTGTTGTGAGCTAGGCTGACACCACAGCACTCTAGCCGGGGCAACAAAGTGAGACTCTGTCTCA